TGGTTAATGCAAGATGGGGCTCGACCACACCGCACCGAACAGGTGTTTCTGTTCCTTGAGGAATACTTTGGGTTATTTCAAATATACTGGAGCAGACATGGAGTGTCCATAAAGGACATGGATGGCGAATCTTACCATTTTTGACTACTTTTTAAGAGGCATCTTGAAGGACACTGTGTTCCAGAAGAAGCCTGCAACACTGGATGAGCTTGAAGAGTCGATCTGTGAGGCATGCGCATCCGTTTCCGTTGACACACTACGGGATATGTGCAAATTTTGTTCTTCCTTAGCGCCACCTCTCTATTGCGAAAGGTGAACCTTTTGAAAAGACTGTGATGTGAATCAAATGATAGCTTGCAGAGGACAACGTTTGGTACCTTTTTCTAGAAGGTACTGCGACTAAAGCGCCAGCTATTAGCAATTTTTGTAACAAAATGTGAAACAAAAAATTAGATTTTTACAGCTGTCCCAATAAACATACCTTCTGCTTCATTCTTCTACCGATCTTTGTTTTCGAGTTACTTAATTTAAAAAACGCGGTTGCTTAATGGGACACCCTATATGAATGATTTCTAAAGAAATTTCCCTGGATTTTATATACCGTTTTAGAAGTTTCTCTGGAAATAAGGATGTAATGTAAAAATGTACGTTCTGAATAGGAAGAATCGCTACATATAAATGGCTGGTGAGCAACAGAGAACAGAGCACTTACCAGAAAGAAAATAAAAAAATTTATCTTCTTAACTCTTACAGTTCTCCAAACAATGAAAAGAACAAACTAAGCCTCAGGGTAACGGAAACTTGCTCTTTTTTTGTTGAACTAACAGCAAAATGGGATTAAACTTACTTAATAATGGACTAGACTTACTTTCTTATAAGTTTTCTTTAATGATGTGCCAAACGAAATTATTTTCTCTGGAATCAAATAAATTTTCCATGATTCATTTCAAGCCTCTTTAAAGTCTCTGTCCGGAATGTTTCAAAAGGCTTTTCCCAATAGGTCGCTCTTGAATCCATGTTAAAAATTTCCCTTCTCGCGGTGATGATTGGTCATTTGATGGCCCTTAAATTATTAAAATAATATTTTTCCCGTTCGAAAAGTATTATTATTTGTTCGAAATTAAGGACTGTTTGTTGGTAAGTTCAATAATTAATAATTATTAAATAGATTACCTTGAATTTTGATCGCTTTATAGTTATCTGGAAATACTTGAACTTGACACAGTAATAAGACTCAAAGAATTGAATAAGATTTGGACTTATCAGCTGTTAGAATTGTTTACATGAGTTCATTCTTTCTTAGCATTGAATACTAGTCGTATTGTTTTATTTAATCTGTTCCCACAAACACACGGCAAAATTAGAAAATACATTACGAATTAAACATCTGGCGGGATGGATGGCAGCGCCATCTTTAGAAAAAGATAAACTAAGGCATAAACATTTTTAAAACTGAATAAGGGTCTTTAATGTTTTCTTATCTTACAGTTACGGAACTTTTCGGTTTTCTTCTCTTACTCTTTCCCATTAATATATTACTGGATTTACCTGCAGCTCAATATTGCCAGGTTTTCTTAAGAAATTGAAAATGCATCTAGTTAATTTCACACATCTATATCCTGATACATCCATAAGAAGTAGCTTCAAGATCTCAATTGCCATTTAACATGCTATCCACTTTATTCGTTTTTAAGTTTAAAATATGATTGTCTTGGTGTTTTAATTGCCATATTTTAACTACATACCAATGCAACCTAAGAGAAGATATACGGGGCATAAATGATTATTAGCAAATAACAGCAGATTCATTAAGTTTGGCGAAGCAGAAAACGTGAATTAAAATGCCCTTGCCGGGATTCGAACTTTGCATTTTCCTATGGTTAACCGAACATTCCTCCAATTATAAGTTAAAGACGTGAGTTCATTTAAAGGAAGTGGAAAATACCTTCCATTTCCCTCCACTTAAAAGGCGATTGAGGCGACTGGGAATCAATTATCAAATCTTATGGGTGAAGAATTATCGTCCATAGCATTTTAGTTCAAGTTCCACTTTGGCGCAGAAAACTTGAAAATGATCTATACGCTTGACGGGATTCGAACTCCGGGCTCCCGGATTGCTAATAAAGCATGCTTTCAATTAAAAAAACCTAAGAAACGCTTGCGATAAATTGTGCATGTTGATAAAGCGGGTTAGGAAGAAGCAAATGCATTTACAACATTATTTCGAAAGTTAGAAGAATTTTGAATGCAATCATTATTAATTAGCATATTCTGTTACCGTGGTAGCTTCTTTCATTCCATAGTGACAACATAGTTATGAAAAAAAGAGAAAATACAATCTCAGAACCTATACCTTTCATATCCCTTTTAGATATAACAACTAAATTAAATGTTACCTTAAGGTCAACAGATCTATCGATTTATAAACTGATTCTGAATCACTCAGGAACAGGAACCGATTTAGGAAGTGGAGGAAGTAGGTTTGAGAAACCGCTGAGCAGCTGAAAATTTCATTTCCTTAATGTGTGTCTTGGAGACTACTGAGAGCTTCGGAATAAAAAATGAAAATAGTCTAAACATTTTTATAGTTATAAGTTCAGAGTTCTTTCAGGAAAATTTTCACAAAGAAACAGGGATCGGTGGGATGAAATAAAATTCAAATGTGAACAGCTTCATGAATTAGCCTGTACTTAGTTATATTTGGCATCCGTGATGTAATTCAGCGCACAAAAATCGCTTGAAAATTTTAGAAATATTTTGAGAACAGTAAAATTAATTTCATACCTGAAAACATTTGTAATTAGTCTAATTAAAAAACAAATATAAATTTTAAAGCTCAATAATTTGCTATGAACTTAATTATTTCAAATTCTGTTTCATTGTTTTTATTATAACATATTTTTTACCTTTTTCTTTATGTCTAGGAAAAGAATCAAGTTGTTTGTTAGCTGTGCATATTATGTAGATTTACCAGGAATTTAAATCGACATTAGAATATAATCTGCATAAATATTAAAATAGAGAACTTGGAGTCAGATCATTTCATGTACCTGAAATTGATACTGAAACCGATATTTTTGTAGCCTCGTAATCAGTATCAAAATAAAAGTCAATATTCACTTAAGTTTCCTATCCAAGCTATAAAGACTCAGATTGTGGCGAAATAATAATAATGTTACGAAATGTACAGGCGCGGTAAAATGGTTTCCCCGCAAAGCAGTTTTAGGGTTGCCATGAAATGGCAAAGTTAGGCAGGGTTGCCACATCTGGCGACAAAATTGGCGATATGCCATGGACGGATGGAGAACCATCTGGAACGAATTCTTAACGGTTTAGCCCAGAATGTTCTTGAACACAAGCCGAAAGCTATATAAACCCTGCTGGTCCGCAGTCAGTGAGAGAGTGCCTCGTCTAGCGAGCTGATAGTCAGTCATTGAGCGAGTGTCTCGAGGTCTAGCGCCGAGTCGGTCGTCGAGTGCGTCGAAGAGTCTTTAATGCATCGTCGAAAGAGTGTGTTAAGCTCCGGGAACGACTAAACCGAAGAGTCGGGAGCTGAGCTCTGTGTCTCGTTGAGTGCATCACGAGTTGTAGCGTGGAGAGTCTCAAGAGTACGTGGAGTTCCGAGAATGACCGAGCAGAGTCGGGAGCTCTTTGCAGTGAAGCTGTCTCCACCGTTATTGCCTGACAGTGTAAAGGCTGTGTCGCTGATTGTTCCAGCTTGTTTATTGTAGATCTTCGACGACTGTAAAAGTGTTTTGGAGCTGTTCTGTTTAATATTGGTAAATAAGGTGTGTTTCGATATTTCATCAAGTAGTGTCGTCATTATTCACTCCAAATCCATACGAACCCCGTACGAACGTGAAGGAAGAAAATAACGTAACAACTGGAGTCAATGGAAAAAAAAGTAACAATAATAAAAAGGCTGAAAGAAACCTATTACGTAGAGGAAAATAGGTGCCCTGAATACATATTTGTTAATCACAATATTTAATCTAACTTCCAAATGAACAATTTGGCAATCAGATAAAGTGTAAACACTTTTATTTAAGTTCGATCTAATGAAATAATTTAAAGTTCATTAGGCTGTAACATGGTACACAAATAAATATATATACTACATACATTAGAATAATTCATTTCGAATACTTATGAAGTTCCTTTTCACATTTATGCTTCACAATAAACATGTGAGTCATGACTTTATCCTAATCGTGGAACTAAATTCTTTAATACATATTAACAAATTCATCATCGTTTGTAGCTGCGAAGGGAAGATGAAGAATACTCACGTGGGCTGACCTTTAGCATCCGGGAGACAAGAATCGCTTCCTTCAATGCGCTAGGTATCAGTCTTGAACAGTCTCTGTATATTACAGCACAGACCGGAAAATTACCCACTGTCGTCACATTGCTACAAACAGCCATAGAGCTTGAAAGTACAGATGAAATATCACGATGAAAGTATTCTCGGAACCAGATATTGTTAGTAGGAGCTGAATGTCACTTATTACATCTCTTTTAGATACGGAATTGTAGATCAAGAAGACTTTCAGGGAACAAGCTCTCTTTAAATGTCAGTAATCTGGATCTCTTCTTCACCATCGGATAGGAAACTTTATCTTCCAGTCTTTGCTTAAATAACTAAAACTGAAACTCTTCGTCATCGTCGGATAGAAAGTTTTATCTCTCAGTCCTTATTTAACTAGAATTGACCACTTCATCCCCGTCAGAACAGGAATCTTCATTTCTCAGTCTATCTGTAAAACTGGAACACTTCATCACCATCGAGGAGGAAATATTACCTCTCAGTCATTTCTTATATGTCTATGAACCTGGAACACTTCATAGTCGCCCAGGAATCAATAAAAATCAGCCGAATCCAAGACATCACTGATAAATAGTCTTCCATTTCTCGCGTTCTTGGAAATCATCATCGCATTACTCCTGTCTCTCTCCTCCATTTTACACACTTTTCTACCAGTTGTCATCCGCATTCTCACTTTCTTCCTTTTTCTTTAATTTTGCTAAACTCATAATTCCTAGAAATTCTTCTTCCATCTTCTCGCTCTGCTTTCACCGCTTCTCGTAGTCGTTTTTTCATCAAAATGAAAAGCCCCTCTTCGACAATATCTTTTCTGTTTAACTACTGACCTAATTACTAATTATAGGCCATATCAAAATGCAGCCTCGCCTCACTTAATTAGTCAGTGTCAGTCACCGCTTCTTCAATCGTTTTTTACATTAAAATGAAAAGCATCCATTCCAACAATATATTTTGTGTTTAATTCCTGACCTAATTGCTAATTAAAGGCCATCTACTGATGCAACCAAGCCTCACTTGATCTCAGTCGTCAATGCCAGCCACTCCACAATTTTTCCAAACAAAGTTAGTTTCTAGATTTTCCACTCTATTAGACAATAACATTTACACCATAAAAATTCAATAGAGTTTGTAAAAAAGGTTAAAAACATTCTCCTCGTAATTACTCATGGTTTCTTTTGATGTAAATCATTATTCACCCAATGTCCCAGTGGAGGGTGCATTAAGATGTCTAGAAACCAGACTCCGCGAATTTCATTTCCTTGCATCGAAATTGATGAGCTAATTTCTCTCACTCAACTCTGTTTGAAACAAACACATTTGTTTTCCAAAAATAAATATACAAGCAAACTGAGGATTAGCCATGGGAAGCCCCCTCAGTCCCCATCCTGGCTGATATCTACATGCATTATTATGAATCAAAATTGTTTGAAACTTTAAACTTCCCGGCATGGTTCCGCTACGTAGACGATACTTTTACCCTGTTTGAAGTAATAAAGGTGATTTAAATAGAGTTCTTTCAACAATGATTCTCTATTGATCCTGCTATTCAGTTCACTTTTGAACTTGAGACTTGCATTCTCTTCCGTTCTCGACATTCTGGTCACACGTAACACATCCAACTTCAGTACTACAGTTTACCGTAAACTTCATCGGTTTGCCTTCCACCACACTTTTAAATCATGTCATCCGACTAAAAAAGTTAGCTTCATTTTATTCCTATGTTTTCCGTGCTCTTCAAGTTTGCTCCTCCAAACTAGCCCTTGATGAAGAACTAAATTATTTAAAAGCAATAGCTATTGACAGGGGCTTTTCACCCAACATTATTAATCAAGCAGTTAAAAAAAATTCTCATCTCAACACACTAAAAGCCACACTCTTATTTTAGGAGATTATAAAATTCTGTTGTCATTCCCTTCTTTCCATCAATTAGCTATAAAGTTGCACATATTTTGCAGAAATTTAACTTTCGGGTTGTTTACTCTCTCCCATAATTAAAATTCCAACTTCTATAACTCAAGGACCCCATTCCGGATATGAATTCCTGGGGTATTTATAGGATTCCTTGCCAGTGCGGTTTAATTTACATTGGCCAAACTAAGAGAGCCTTAAAATTTCGCGTCAAAGAACATGAGGCATATGTTAGAAAAAGGAAACACAGAAGTCTTCTGTTGCTCAACATTGTTGGTCCGAAAATCACACTTTCAATTTTTCTGCTGCCAAAATTATTCAAAAAACACATCTTCCATTGGAGAACTGGATTTTCTAGAGCATTTCACATTCATAAATATCTTTCTGTTCTAGTTAACGATCCTAATTCCAATCCAAATTTGCCTTCGGCTTTTTAGAGAAATTATGTTTTAGTTTCTGTTTTCGCCAACAGATGGCGCCACTTGCTTATTCTTGTCCAGGCTTTCTTATCTTATCTAAACATTATTTCCTATCTTGTTCATTTGCGGTTTTGCAGCTGAAGATGATGGTTCGGTAAAACCATTGAAACTAGTCCTGTGAAAATTTTGTAAATTAACGCTGATTTTTGTTGTTTGACTTCTGAATTAGTATTTATTCGGCGTGTTATTGTGTCTTAAAGTATAGTTACCCAGCAATTAAAATTTTGCATTGCATTTTTTTCCTACTTAGTTCTAGGAAAAGAAGAATACCGGAATCTTCTCATCTTCACTTCGTGTGATGACCGTTCATCCACAAAATGTCTCTTTAAGGAAATAATGGGTCTAGTAGACAGACAGTCTACATTTTTGTTTCCTAATTCCGCACGGGATTTCCTTATGTAAGCTCATATTATCCAAAATTGTCACGAGGAAGAAGCATTTTCTCGACTTTAATTCCTAAATGTCCCTGCTATTTTATTTCCCGATTTATGTACTTTAAGTATATTGCCTTAATTTCCTAAACATTTTTCAAGATGCATGTACATATTCTTTCATTATGATGTCACAAAAATATTCTGTTCCTTATTGTATACGGACTTGACGTCCAGAGGTTTGACATTCTAAGGTCTAGTTAACACTAAAATGGCGCCGTACTCCAAGTCACACCTTTTTGTCAAAGCTACCGCTATCGCTGACCTCCTATTATAATTTCTCTACAATTATTTTAATTTTCCATCCAAAGATTTCCGACAAGTCAAAGACAAGGAAAGCTTTTCTTTCAAAGCAATGTACGTTCCTCTTGGCAGTCCTTTGCGGCTAGTTTTGCTCATTGAAGTAACAAAAATAATTTTATTTAATTTAAAGTTTTACGGCGCCAGTAACACATCCCCTCATACCCCAATTACTCGTCTATCCCTTCAAATTAACAACAGTTAGAATCAATTCTGAAGCCTACATAATTCTACATAAAAAAAGCAGGATTAGTTGAATGTCGTAGTTATTTTTCAAGAAAGCACATATTGAGACGCAAAATATTTAAAAGAAATCAAATAAGTATGAAACTCACTATATTAAATAAAATAATGAAATAGAAATTGCATTTCAAATATTTTATTTTTAATAGCATTATAGCGTCTATGTCTTTTTGGAAGCATAAACTGTAGAACGTAGAAGACGTATAAGGTGTTTTTCCTGCCTTCTTAGCATGCCTTTGTGGTGTAATGGTCAGCACGCTCGGCGCGTATTCAGGAGGTCTGAGGTTCGAGTCCTGGCGAGGGCATTGCACATTTTTTATGCCTCCGTCTCTACAGTGGCCGTCTCCCGGAGAAATTTTGCACAGTTTTCATGTCTCTTGCTTCGAAATAACCTAATGTCTCTACAGACGAAGCAGAGAATTCTCGCTGTGTCTTTAAAGAACAAATACTGCAGAATAAATTTTTAAATCTTTTTATTTCAACTAAATTTAATAAGATGCACGCACTCGGTGCTCACAATTCACCACCACGTTTGGCTAAATTTAATTGAACAGGAAATGAAAAATGTAAAATCACAATAAGTTAGGATGGCTAAACGACTGGCTCCTGAGTTATCTTAACTGCTAAATCGGCTGCACACAGCAAAGCCGAGCCTAGACTATCAATATAATCTGGACGGTGTCTAACACCATCTAGAGAGCTAATTTTAAACACGCAGCATAAATTTGAAACTAACTCTGCAATTACTCCTCACGAACTCTTGAAACGCAGCTTAAATACTGCTTCTGAATACACTTAGGTTTTGCATACTACGTCATTAAAATTCACATTCCGGGAGGAAACTGAAATCAGGAGAGAAAGGAAAGTAAAACTAAAAATAATTGGTTAGAATAAAATAAGGTCATTACTGCATAAACGTTTGTGTTTTTCACTATCAAATAAATACTAATATTGTTAGTGGAAGTGAAAGAATATTTAGACTTTATGTGGTAAATTTAATTTTAATGATAATTAGGTTTTTATTATTATTGTTTTTTAAAAAAGTTTTCAGATCAGAAATCGATGTGAGTACCATTTATCCAACACGCACCGAAATCTACTCTGAAATGTCGAAGGATTCAGAATACGGCGTCTGATCCATAAAATTTAGTAAAAAAAGGAGAAATATGCTGATATTTTACATTTTCCCCATGTGGACGGTATTCTAGCCGCCAGACATAACTGCAGTCAACGCAGCAGAAATTATTTCCAATATATGGAGGAATGAATTGAAATTATTGGGTCGTCATGTCAGAGAATAAGGGACGATGATTTAGAGAGAAAATGGCACAAGCAAAATTTGAGTCTCTTGTTTGTACTTAATATTTCTCATCGGAGCTTCATCGTTTAAGAGAATTAAATGAAAATAAGATAATAATTTCATTACAAAACTTCCAGTGTTAGCTTAAACAAATATTAATTCATTTTCATAAGTTATTGTGTATTTAACAAATGTTAGGCTTTCGTTTTATCATTAATAGCTAAACCTGCAGGGAAATCTTTTTATGCGGGCACGAAATTTCAAACACACGCTGAAACAGTTAATACTTCGTGCACTTTTATCTCAGAAACGGTGAGCAAGATCGTGGTATCAAGTTCTTATAGAAATTAAAACAGAGCTGGATATAAAATCAATGAGATACATTCCGCAAGAGAAGAAGAGGAAGAATGACCTTGCTTGTTTGCATTAGCTGCACATAAGTCACGTGATCTCTGAGGTCATTTGCATTGTTTGTTTAGAAAAGATATACATAAGTCACGTGATGTCACGATCAATGAGGTCATCGGAATGTATCTCATTGCTCAATCTTGATTACTCTTAAAAGCTTCAAATAATTTTATCAGTTTGAAATTTTTTCAGATATTTTTATCGAATGAAAATTAAAGAAATATTCAAGTATTAATAAGAGTACTTTATGTACTAATTTTCTAATAATTGAGATAGACAGTTTTTCCGACTCTACTAATCGATTAAAACATTTTCAAAACTTTAGTTTTGTATTTTTAAATATGAAATTTTAGATCTCCTGTAATAAATATATATCAGCAAGAATTGCTGTAAATAATACACGAGGAACGATTTTCATAATTGTGACCAAGCTTTGTTAATAGGCTTAATTAATACATCATAATTAATATATATTAGAGTTTTGAAAATATTAGAAAAAAATGAATCACATAAAACCTATCGAAACATGTGTTGGGCATTTATTGATTTACATTTCTTCTTTTTTAAAGAACTAAAAATTTTGTAATCATAAAACAGTGCTGAGTAATGCAATGATGAATCTATACTTCTTTCTGAGGCATTTCGATACAAAGTTATTTGATAGC